TACTATATACACAGGTATATATGGGTGTATGCATATATGTGTGTATATTACATGGACATACATGTGTGTGCATGTATGTCTATATATAAAGAAAATAGAATTTGTTTAATTCATAATTATATGTAAGTTGTGGGTACATGCCAAAACTTTTTTTATTGGCAAGGATAAATCATCAAGAAAGTGGGCAGTCCAGAGACCTGGAGGGCCAAAGTTCTGGTTGTCTTCTGAGGGCAAGCTGCACCCTCTGACCTCCATGTTAGGGGTGGACCCTCTGATACAACGGCACCAAGGAGGCTGATCGAATTAAGAGGGCACAGCACAAGCCCCCCTCTCATTCTGCAGGGGAGGACCATGTGCAGTAAACAGAGTGGGCAAGGAATCGCAGGGTCCCTGCCTGCAGCTGCCTTTCGAGGCCATAAGCTACCATTTGCCAGGCACTGACAGACACTGGGGTGGGGGTCACTGCATCAGTTTCTAGGTTGAACTTGGTGACGACTAAGGCCCCCTTTCACTCAGGTATGGGAACCTTCTTTCAAGGGACAGATACAGGAGGCGTGGGTTGTGTAAAACTACTGTTATCGGTGTGGGACCCTGGTCCGCCAGCATCACCTGACAAGCATGTTGGAAACCCAGATTCCTCAGCCATCCCTGGAGTTCTGCTGAGTGTGGCTGAGGGCCCAGGAGATTCCAGCAGGCTCGTGCAGAGGCCTGGGTCCCAGGGTCATTGGCAGGAGGAGAGGAGTGAGCAGAGGGTTGGCAGAGGGCTTCTGGGACCTGTCCTGGCACGAGGGGCTCATAGCAGGGTCTGATCTCACGCCAGCCAGCAGAGACTCTCCAGAATAGTATGGGCAGTGCCTGGCTCAGGGCTGGGCGTAACCCAGGCTCTTGGGGGCATTTGCTGATGCCACCCCAGGACCAGAAGCGGATGGAGAAGATCTCGAAGCGGGTCAGCGCCATTGAAGAGGTGAACAACAATGTGAAGCTGCTGACGGAGATGGTGATGAGCCACAGCCAGGGCGGCGCCGCGGCCCGCAGCAGCGAGGACCTCATGAAGGTGCGCCGCCTTCCACCCAGCCCCACCCACTCTGGGGCCCCTGTTGGCCCTGACCCGCCCACCCTGCTGCCCCCAGGAACTCTACCAGCGCTGCGAACGGATGCGGCCCACGCTCTTCCGACTGGCCAGTGACACAGAGGACAATGACGAGGCCTTAGGTGAGCCCGGGCACAGTCGGCCCCATCCCTCCACCTCCTCCCCAGCCTCTTCCAGGCCTCTGAGTAGCCACAGTTGGAAGGAGCCTCCACCAGGGGGCCCCCTTCTCCAGCACTGTCCTTGGGTTTCTCCACGTGGTGGACCAAGGAAACAGAGAGCAGGGGCTGCATGGTTGAGAGGTCATATGGGCCAAGCACCTTCGCAGGCACCCCATCCGCTGTCCACAGCTGCACAGGAGGGAGAATTGTCCTCATTTCCAGATGGGTCTCAGGGAGGGAAGGGATTTGCCCAGGTCACAGGGCACAGTGCAGAGCCAGGGTGGACTGGGGGCTCTGTCCCTCCACATACTGCCTCCCCAGTAAAGGCTAGAGACCAAGGGCCAGTCCCACAGGCCTGAGCAGTTCCAGAGCTGGGCCCCGTGGCTTCTGCCGGGGCCGCATGTCAGGTTCTCGTCCTTGTTCTCTGCCACCACGTCAGCCAGGGCTTCTTGGGCAGCAGTCTGGATACCATCTCAGCCCCTCACTCAGCGGGAGTTCACTGAGCGCCTCCCATGTGCCAGGTACCTGGGCCCTGCCCAAAGGCTCGCTGCCAGATCCCTCTAAGCCCCGGTCCCCGAGGAGGTAATGTCGGTGAGGGTCTAGTTTGTGCCACATGCCATTCTAGGCCCTCAGGGATATGGCAGTGACCAAAATGGACAAAAGCCATATCCTCGTGGAGCTTGTAGCCTAAGGAGAGGAGACAGACAATAAACCAAGGACATGGGCAGTGGCATTTGTCAGGTGGTGGTAAGTGGCATGGAGAAAAGCAGGCAGGGGCCTGGGTAGTGTGGGGTGGGGATTAGGGAAGGCCTCCCCAAGATGACTTTGGGTAAAGACCTTTTGGGTAGAGACAGGAAGAGATGAAGCCATGCAGAGATCTGGGGGACATCTAGACAGCGGCCCCGGTGTGAAGGCCCGGAGGCCAGAGCATGCCACTGTGTTTAGGGCCAGCAAAGGGCAGTGTGTGGTGATGTGGGCGAGAGGAGGTAGCGGAGAACCTGAGTCTGAGTAGGTGAGATGGGGATGCCCCCCGGCCCCGCCCCATCACTCGGGCTGGATGGATGTGGGGTGCTCATCTGCCCCAGAGGCCCCCACACTTCTTCAGCCTGGCCTCTCCCTTCCTGCCCATTCCAGCGGAGATCCTGCAGGCTAACGACAACCTCACCCAGGTCATCAACCTGTACAAGCAGCTGGTGAGGGGCGAGGAGGTCAATGGTGATGCCGCATCTGGCTCCATCCCTGGTGAGGAGGTGGCCAGGGAGCCGGGGAGGGCCCGCCAGCCTGGAAGGGCACAGAGTCCAGGCTGGTATTGCCTCCAGAGCTGGTAGTTGTGACTGCCAGGATTACCCTGGCCCCTTAAGATGGGGAAAGCCCCCAGGGAGAGAGTGGGGGGGGGAGTGGCATCTGTGCCAAGCCCGCAGCTGTTGGGGAAGGAAGTCTGGATGTGGACCGGAGGAGGGGGAGCTGAGGGGTTGCTGAGGACAGGCGGCAGAAGGAAAGCCTTTCTTTGACTTGGCAAATCCAGCACCTGTTGTGTGGGGCTACATGACACCCGCAAGGCTTACTTTAGTTACCGGAAGGCAGTAGGGAGAGCCTGACACATAAACATCACAAGCTCGGCTCCAATAAGAGCAAAGTGACAGATGTGGGGGACCACTGTAGAGGTTGGAGTCGGTCCTGTTTGGGGCAGCAGGCATGGAGCACTACACAGAAGAGCAGAATTCAAGCCAGGCCTTGAAGGATGGGAGGCAACTTGCCCGGTAGAAGGAGGAAAAATATGTCCCAGATGGAAGGAGTCCCATGTGCTAAAGAAAGGGCCTGGTGGGCAATCTCGGGTCAAGGACAGTGTACAAGTGGGGAAAGCAGGAGGGTTGTGAAGGGTAGAGACAGCTTGCTGTTCCCAACCCCTGTGGACTCCCAGGAGCCTGAGTGACCTCCACCCAGGACTTGCCTGACTCCTCTTTCCAACCCCAGGGAGCACCTCGGCCCTCTTGGACCTCTCAGGCCTGGATCTCCCTCCTACCAGCACCACCTACCCAGCCATGCCCACCCACCCTGGTGACCAGGCCAGCCCTGAGCAGCCCAGCGCCTCGGTTTCCCTGCTTGATGATGAGCTCATGTCTCTGGGTGAGGAAGGGGGCGGGCCTGGAGGAGGGCGGGCTTGGCTGCAGGTAGGGGAGGACGCTGCAGCACACGAGGCAGCTTGCAGAGCATGGTCTGGTCAGAGTATTACTCCTGCGAGTCCTGCAGGGAATGAGGGATGGTCATTAGGCCCACTTCATAGCCGAGGAAGCTGAGGCTCCAAGCAGTAAAGGAGGCCATACAGGTTATACAATGAAAGGGTGAGGCTACCCAGTGCCTGAACTGACCTCTGATAAGCTAGCTGCACCCAGGCTCCTGGGGCCTGAGGGAAAAACAGGGATTTACCTGCAGCAGGTAAAAGCCTAGAATTGGGAGCTGCCCGGGCAAAATCAGTGACTTCCCCACCCACCGAAAGGAAGAGGGAGAGCTCCGGGCTTCCAGCACCAGAAGCACCAGGGAAGCTGCTTCAGAGCACAAGGCTCTATGTCTCAAGCTGGTCCCAGGCCAGGCCTGCCATCCTGCAGGGTGGGGACAGGGCTCCAACCCACAGGGAACCAGGCTCCCCCTGGGGAAGAAGGCGCCCAGGCAGCCAAGCAGCTTTTGGGTTTCTAGCTTTGGGGCACAGCAACCCCATCTGAGCTTAGAAGCCACAGGGCATATTAACAACCTTCTCATAATAGCCCTGAAGTTTTAAAAACAGGTGATCAGGCTCTGTCAAAGCAACCTTGAAGGTTATGTTGGAAAACTAACTTGGAAGCCAAGAGTCAGACTCTGCTCCCGAGCCAGTTCTGAGGTTAAAAACCAAAGCTGGCAGAGCAGCGGTGTGCAGAGCCCCAGGCCAGCGGCGGCCCGGCTGTTCCTCCACCCGCCACGTGAGATGCTGTCAACATCCCCACTTTACAGATGCAGAAACAAGGCCCAGAAAGGCTGGGTGACTTGCCCGAAGAGGCCACTAGGGTTTGGACAAGGTGATTAGATTCTAAAGCTGAGCCCATCTGCTGCCCTGACTCAGCTCATCAGCCAGGAGAGGGAAATGAGGACTGGAGTGGGGACCAGCCAGCACCCTACCTAGGAGGGTTTGACTCCAGGGTATCCGTGGGCCTGCTCAAGAGTCCCACCTACCTGCCCCCTTCTCACTCAGAGCTAGGGGTGACTCCGGGAGAGCCACTGACCCTGTCTGACAGAGAGGTATGGGATGGTCCAGTGACAACAGGGCGCCCACAGGCTCATCTTCCCCAGCAGAACCAGGGCCCAATGGTGGCTCTCTGACTCGGCAGCTGGTGTGTATGGCCCGGTCCCCAGTGAGTGACAGTGGCAAAGCCACATCCTCATGAGAAGCAAGGTGTGCTTTGAACTTCCTGTCCCCAAGTCGCCTCAGCAGAGCCCTGAGCCTCCAACTTCCTCTGGTTTCTACCCAAAGGCAAAGAAAATGTGGGAACAGGAACCAGAAGTGCCAGGCAGCACCCACCAGCTCGGGGAATAGAGGAAGCTTTGGGACCACAAAGGGAGCTTGTCCTAAACGGTTCTCTGTGGCAGGAAGGGTGAGGGGTGAGGGTCAGAGTAGGCAGTGTGGACTTCCGGTCTGTCGGAGAGGGTGTTCTGGCACTTCATCTGATGTTTCTAATTTATTACAACAGTTCTACGACGTAGATGCCGCTCTTGTCTCCATTTCACAGAGGAGGCTTGGGGAAGTTGTCACACAGTTAAGTGGTAGAGTTTCAGACTCCAGTAATTAGGCCGCGCTGTCCAAGTCCGATTCTGCCTCTTTCCGGCTGTGTGACCTTGGGTAGAGTTATTAACCCCTTTGAGCATCCACTTCCTCATCCTTAAAAGAGGATTAAGAACTCCACACCTGCTTTTTAAAGTTGAGGATTAAGTGAGACCCACGCCTGAAGTGCCTGACAAATCGGGGTGTAAATGTCAGCCTTCCCCCTGAGTCATCCCGGCTCTCAGGTGTGTTCCAAGGAAGGGACCTAAGAGTCACCACTTCTGTGCCCTGCCTCTGTCAGGTAGCACTTTGAGCTGGGCCTCACTTGCTCAGCATTTCCTAGGAGCAGAATAATTTGTCTTCTCCGGTAAAATGAACTGAGCTGAGGCTGTGCTTCAGGGCAGGCAGAGCTCAGGCTGGTTGGTGACCTGCTGCCTTCTACCGACCGGTAGGCCTGGTGAGCAGGCCATCCCGAGGGCCCACAGCTCACCTGACATGAGTCAGCCAGCCCTGGTCCACACCCCGGGGTGGACTGGGCCTCAGAGCCTGCCCCGCCCACCCTTCATTGTGCACATGGAGACACTGCAGCCTGGCTAGCACCTTGCTCACAGGTGCTCAGCTTCTGGGGCAGGCCTGGGCCCAGGGCCCTGTTCACTGTCCCGCAGTGCCCTGACCTTGAGGTCAGTCATTGGGCAGGCTCAGAATGCTGACCCCTGGCCGCCTGGGTCTGTGGGGTGAGGAACCTCACTCTCCCACTCCCTGCTCCCTTCTACCCTGAACGAAGACAAAAGTCCTGATGTCCACAGTTGAGTTCGTTTCTGAGCGGCAGGGCAGGAAGTGTGTGCGGGCCTGGGGAATGGATCATCAGGGTCTTTGGTTTCTATTTCTGTTCTGCTTCTGGTTCCTTCTGAAAGTGAGGGTTTTTCCCCTTTGAGCTGAGCATCTCAAAGGGGGGACATCGGGGAGCAGATGGGAGCCAGGGAACCCCGAGCCAGCATGTCACTCACACCCCCCAGCTCTTGCCTCTGCTCAGGAATCCAGCCCCTTACCTCTGTCTGGCTTCCCTTCAGGCCTAAGTGACCCTGCACCCCCTTCAGGCCCAAGCTTGGATGGTGCTGGATGGAACAGTTTCCAGGTAGGAGGGGCCAGGAACTAGCCTGACCTGTCCCCCAGGGCCAGGACAACTCTGACAGGCAGCCTGAGGGGCCGGAGAAGGGAGAGGAGGTGAGAGGGCCTTGGGGCACCCATCCCAGGGTGGGGGATGCAGGTGGCTGTCTGTCCTCCATGTGCATCTCCCTGGGGTTGAGACGGGGTTCCCTATTCCTTTACTCTTGAGTGACTTTGAGGTCCCTGGAAAGTGATAGATTCTAGAGCAGAATCCCAAATGGGGCCCAGCCAACCGATGGCCCTGGAATGAGGGGCATGGCTGGGCAGAAATGTTGTCGCCATTGCTGCTTCTTCCCCAGATGTCCCCGCAAGGAGGGGAAGGGCTGCAGGGCAGGGCAGCCCCACCCACCTGCATCATTTGTATGCCCAACAGTCCTCCGACAGCACAGAACAACCAGCCTCTGCTCCGGCCCCTAGCGTGGACAGTCAGCCCACAACGCAGACGTCCCTGCCAGCAAGCAGTGGTCTGGATGACCTGGACCTCCTGGGGAAGACCCTCCTGCAGCAGTCGCTGCCCCCCGAGTCCCAACAAGTGCGGTGGTAAGAACATAACCTGGCTGCATGGAGTGGGGGCCCTCCCTGTCCCCACAGCCAGCAGGCAGAGGCCCAGAGCAGCTTTGTCCCTGTGAGTCATGCTGCTGGAGTGCCAGGGGCTTCAGGGACGCAGCAGTGACCAAGGCCTGACCCCCAGAGCACAGAGTTGATGAGTAAAAATGGGCCTGTACCCCACTGGGCAGGGGTCGGGGAGCTGCCTGGCCAAGGTGAAGAGACCAAGGCCAGAAAGACAGGGAGGCGTCTGAGCCAGCCGTCAGGGACAGCCAGGAAACCCAGCCTTTCCTGTGCCCCTGATCTCTTGGGCACTGAAGATACACCTCTCAATGAACTGTCCCCCAATAAAGGGAGAAGCAACAGCCAGCTCCCCGGCTCACACTCCGGGACCTGCAGAATAAAAGCAGCTTGTCCAGCTCCAGCACCACCAGCCTCCTCCACACCGTGTCCCCTGAGCCTCCAGGACCTCCACGGCAGCCCACACCACCTGAGCTCTCACTGGCCAACATCACTGTGCCCCTGGAATCCATCAAACCTAGTGAGTGGGCTGGGGTGCGGGCAGGTGCAGATTGGGCCCGGCCAGCTCACTGTTCTGGTGGGAGCTCTGTCTGGCGGAGCAGGTGGGAAAGTGAGGCTCTGCTCCCAGTCCTGCCATTGCCTGAGTCACAGGGAGCTCTAGGAAAGACCTCCATCCTTCCCAGGACTCAGTTTCCTCATCCATCCCAGGTGATCACAGAACAGGCAAGAGAGCTTTTATAGACGGCCCCGGGGTCCTCCCCAACCTGGGAAGGCAGGGCCACGATACAGAGGTTTGGGGTCTCCCCAGGATCATGAAACCAAAGCAGAATAAAAACCCAGGTCCCAGCCTGGGCTTCTCCTGCCTCGCAGAAGTGGAGAGAGGCACTTGGAGCACCAGGCCCTGGTAAAGGCTGCCTGGTCTTAGCCTTGTCCGTCTCATGAACTCACTGTGACCAAGGGCGCAACATCTTTGCTGTCCCGGGACATGGGTAGTGGTGTCCCTGTCCTACCAGTAGGGAGGACCCTGAACTCCAAGAAGTGGAGTGACCCCACCTCACCCAGAGCCTTCACTCCAGCAAGCCAGGAAGTAGCCACATGGCGCTGGGGGCAGCCCCAGCTATAACCAAGTCCTGGGGTGACAGTCTTGCTTCAACCATCGCAGTGGTTCTGCCCCAACTGGGTACCAGTCTGTACCCCTGACTGCACTACTGCCCAGGTTCAAGGCAAGGACCTAAGTCTGTGGGTTCATTTGCTTGTTCCAGCAGAGTGTTGAGCCCCAGAAGGGAGCCAGGGTTGGGGAGCTGGTTGGATGTGCTTGGGTCTGGCACCACCCATCGCCCTCTCCCCTTCCCCCCACCAGGCAGCATCTTGCCGGTGACGGTGTATGACCAGCATGGCTTCCGGGTCCTCTTCCACTTTGCCCGGGACCCACTGCCCGGGCGCTATGATGTGCTGGTGGTGGTGGTTTCCATGCTGAGCACTGCCCCCCAACCCATTCGCAACATCGTTTTCCAGTCAGCTGTCCCCAAGGTGACATGGGCATGCCTCCTTCCTCTCAAGGCAGGGTGACTTAGCGTTAGATGGGGAGCCAGCTATCTGGGGGCAGGGGGCAGGGCACAGGGCCTCCGCCTGTCTTCTTGGGGAGTTGGGTTGGGGGCAGGTAGAAGGCAACCAGAGGACACAGCCCCAGGACCCCCCAAGTCAGAGCTGGCAGGGAGGCTGGGCCTGGCTCCCTAGGGGAAAAGGACAAGCTGCTGGAGTTAGCTGTACACCTGGTGTCCTGCCCGCAGGTCATGAAAGTGAAGCTGCAGCCACCCTCGGGCACTGAGCTGCCAGCCTTCAACCCCATCGTCCACCCCACAGCTATCACCCAGGTCCTGCTCCTTGCCAACCCCCAGAAGGTGAGGGGCCTGGCTGTGACAGGTGCCGCTCTGGGGTGGGGGGAGGCAGCCTCTTCTCCCCATCTGACCCTTCTCCCTTCACATCTGTGCCCCAGGAGAAGGTTCGCCTCCGCTACAAGCTCCTCTTCACCATGGGCGACCAGACCTACAACGAGATGGGGGATGTGGACCAGTTCCCCCCACCTGAGACCTGGGGGAGCCTCTAGAACAGAGAGGGGCTGGGGAGAGGAGGAGGCTACGGGACTGGCCACTGTCTGGCCTGGGAGGGAGGCTGTGGTGGCCCAGGACACCCGTTGTTCCCATGCCCATGTCCCCTGGGCCTGGTGCTTCTCCCCTCCCCCCTGTGGCCCCTCTTTCCTTGCCCGCTCCCCTGCTGTGCCAAACCCAAAGAGGCTGGGCGTGGGTTTGCCCTGCTGGGACCTTCACCAAGGTGGGAGCCTGGGGCCGGGATGGGTTGCAAGGCCCTGAAAGGACTTGGGGTCATGGGAAAGAAGCATTATCGGGCAAGGGCCAAGATCTCAAGCCCAGCCCTGATCCCAGCCTGGGGTGGGGCCATCCCCACCTGTCTCTTATGCCTTATGGGAAGGCCCAGCCATAACTTGGGGGCCATGCTGGAACTGGGGACCAGCTCAGGCCTCTGCCATAGGAACTGGGTGACGGAGGGGGGGTGACATCTGCACCCCCACCTGTTTGCACTCTCTGGTGTGTGGTTTGACTCTTCATTTTTATTTCGGAGCGGCCCTGTGGTCACCATCTCAGGAGGCCCAGTTGAGGGGGCCCCACCTGCCTCTACTCCTCCTGGGGGTCTCACTCCACCCTCCTGGCCCCTTCGCTGTCAGGCCTCCTGAGGGGCTCTGGGGGCCATGTGGCTGCTGGCTGAGGATCATACCAGAGGCTGGGGACCCCAACTGGGGGCTCCGGGGCCTCTGGCCAAGGGAGGACGTGCACTGGACTCTCAGTGTGTCTCCTTCCTTCATTGACCTTTGCTGGGGCCTCCTGTGGGCATCTCACCTGTCTGTCCACCTGTCATCCATGGGTAAAAGTGGGGTCAGTGTGTGAATGAGAACAGGAGTATTTATGGAAATAAAACATCCTTTTTCCTGGACCAGCTGCTCATGTGGCCCTTCAGAGGCAGAGGGGGACAGGAGGCACCCAGGAGCCGGAGGTCCTGCAGAGCTTTCTGCCCATCTTTGGAGGTCGGGCCCTAAGTCCCTCTCCTCCCACCCCTGGGCCCTGCACCGGTGGAGGCCCTGCTTAGGGGCCTGTGGCCGGTGCTGAGTCAGCAGAGAGGCTTCGGGGCTGTGGAGGGCCCAGAGCCGCCCAGCCGGGATTGAGGGCCCACTCGGGCCCGCCGGGAACACCAGCTGCTGCCTGTGCCGAGGGGGAGGCCCCGGGCTGCTCACAACTTCCTCCTGCTGTGCTCGGCCCTCAGACAGCTGCAAGGCAGCGCCTCCCGAGGTCCTGCCTCAGCTTCCTTCCTCAGAGGCTGCCCCCGGGAAGCAGGGTGTCAGCTGCCACTTGTCTCTGGAGCGGCACAGGGACCCTGCCCTCCCAGCTATAGCAGCAGCATCTTACCTGGGAGGCTGTGGTCCAGGCTGGGCCGGGGAGTGGCTTAGACGCCACACAGCAGAGAGCCAACCGGTGCAGCGCCCAGGACGGGGTGTTAGTCCAGGGCCTTGCCCGTGGTGTGGGCCGGTCCTGCAGGCTGCTCTGCAGGAGCAGGTTCCTGTTCCGATGAGTCTGGGGAAGGCTGCCCGCCATTTCTCCTCCCTAGCAAATGACAGGAAGTGCATTTGAGAAACCGTTTTCACTTTGCCTAACCTAGGGTTTCCCACTCTGAACTTGGCCACACATCCTCTTTCCATAGATATCATTGAGAGGTGCTGGAGCCCGGCCCAGCCCACTGGTTTTCCCAGAGCCCAGCACACCCGACTTCCCAGCCTACACCTTTCCAGTCAGCAGGTGAGGGGCGACACTGGAAGCGCAGCATGAGGCCCCTCAGCCGTGCTGTCTGCTGCGTGGGAGGGAGAAGCTGCCGGGCCTCTGAGCCAGCACTGCCAGCTCCTCCCCCGCTGGAGCCTCCTATCGGGTGCCTACGGTGCTACCCACCCCTGGTCGCAGCCCTCCTGCGGCAGGGCTTCCAGACACGCTGCTCTCTCAGCTACAGGGCCTGGCTCCTGCTCCTGCCCTGCCAGGCACGTCTCTGCCTGAACACTGTGATGTCTCTGAGACAGTCTCTAGTTGAAAGATTCTAAATAAAACCCTATTTCCCATAAGGTCCCTGGGGTCCCAGCAGCACCACCTGGAGCAGTCTCATGCAGGCCGTTGAAGGGCCGCAGGTTGTAAGGGGGATGCATGAGATTTGGAACTAAGTCTGGGCCTATTCCCATGGGGTCCCTCCCTTGTGTGGCTTTGAGCAAGGTACTTCCTTCTCTGGCCTTTGGGTTCCTTGCTTGAAAAGGTGAGAGGGACCCAGTGAGCTGTAAGACCCCTCTGAGGCCTTCTGAAGAGACCTTGGGCAAAAGGGTCCCCAGGCTGTTGGCTTGGAGTGACGTAGATGTACGGGAACAAGGAGAGCCCTTCCTTCTCTGGACTGCCCACCTTTGTTCCTAGTCCATCTATCTGTCTCTCCCGCAGGTGCTTCTTGAGCAGCCCCTGTGCCAGGCAGGCCCTGTCCTGCAAGAGCCTGGCATGGAACCTGGGAGCCAGGAGCTCAGCAGGACATGCCAGCAGCTGGGAGGGGGGTGAACATGAGGTGCCACAGAGGTGTCTGAGGGGCTGGGGTGTCTGATCAAAGCAGGGGACCCTTGGCCTCCACTACCTGGAGGAGGATTACTCCTGTCAATTGAGACAGAGGTCCAGAACAATGCACAGGAGACCTGGTACCTCCCAAGTCCTTGGGCTGAATGGGGTACACAGAGAAAAGAGTGTTCCCTGTCTCTGACCCCCACCCCTACCCTGGGAGCAGTGGGAATTCCCAGAGCTTGAAGCCACACTTGCACTTGTGTTTGTGTAGCTAGAGGCAGCAGCTCCCTTTTTTTTCAGCAAGCACAGTGCACTGCTCATCAGTTCGTGGCAGCCAGGGGAACCAGAGAGGCCTCTGCTCGCCTGGGGAGCCCACGTCTGCTGTTCTGTCACTCCTCTGCCCCCAGTCTCTGTGGGCCTCCCGGCCAGGGCACAGACATAACCAGGCAGAGAACAGAGAAGCCGGCCCTAGGCCTAGCATGATGCTAGACTCTGCCTTAATCCTCATACTGCCCTGTGGCAACGGGAAACTGAGGCTGAGGGCTCATAAAGTGCCTCAGGGCACACATTAGGGCCCAAATCTGACCGGCAACCCTTGAGGTGTCACCATGAAGGCACATTACCCCCTGCTTCCAGAGCCCTCCCAGCCCTCTATCAGCTGCTGGCCTCGGGGTGGGGTTATGGATACACACTCTCCAGGGCTATTGGGGTCATGGTGAGGTCCTCGTGCCTCAGCCCCAGGCCCAGTCCCAGCCTGGGGATTCGCAGGAAGTCCTTTGGCCCAAGGAGGAAACAAGGACGTTTTCAGAGCCCCAGAAGTCACACTGCAGGCCTAGATGCTCTGGGAAGGCCTCACCTTGGAGGGCAGTACTGATATGGCCACAAACAAGCAATTTGTCAAAGTGTCCCAAATGGGATGTTCTTGCTCAGTCCTGTGGCCCCACAGCTGACCCCTTCTACCACCACTTCAGCGCCCAGCCACTGGCCTCCCTGCCCACATCCTGTTCAAGCTTCACCAGCAGACACTTCCCAGACTGTTAGAGGTTTTCACAGACAATCTACTTCGAGCCTCTGGGTTCCTCAAAGCAGCCATGTGGGTAAAGTAGGGGAGGGAAGGAGGGACCAGCATTTCTATAGTCCAGACAGCGCCATATGACACGGCAGGAGAGCACATGGGGGCTTTGGATCTGTCATACTGGCATTCTAACTTGGTCTTAACCACTTAGCCAACTAGGGACCTTGGGCCAGGGGCCTTAGTCTGCTCACCCATAAAATGGGACTGATACCAACTTCACTGGAGGGTGTGCTGAAGTACATGACAGGAAGTGCCATTGTCCCATGAAGGCAGCAGGACACGTTTAGGGAGCAACTGAGGCAGGATTGGGGGTAAAGAGTCCTCCTATCCCCGATTTGCAGGCTAAATAATAATAATTAAAAAACAAGGCTAGGTACTGTTCTAAACATTTTACATATTAACTCTAATCCTTACCATGACCTGTCAGGTAGATGGTATTACCATTATTCCTGTTTTACTGAGGATACTGAGACTCTGAGAGGTTAACTACCTCGCCCAAGGTCACCCACCTAGTGAGAGAAAGCCCAGCCAGCTGGCTCCCTCAGCACCTTAAGCTCTGTTCTTGCTGTCTTTTGAGTTGGAAATAGTGTCCATTGATGGAGTGTCTTCACTTGCCATTCAAGTCAGCTGTGTTTATTAAGCTCCTGCAACTGTGGCACATTGCTAGGCCCTGATGATTCAGCATGAGCCCAACAAGACCCAGGCCCCCCTGGGCAGAGACCCAGCCAAGCCAACAAGCTCTCCCAAGGCACTCTGAAAAGTTCTTGTGATTGGAGAAGGGGTCGGCCGGTGACCTCTGAGGTCCCCTTCTGCATCTGCAGTTCTAAAACTATGATCTCAGCATTGACTGATCAGAACTTCGGAGTCCAGAAGTCTCTTGATTACAACATCCTTTGAAGGAACAGCCTTTGATCCAACCTTTGGGGCTTCCAAACTTTCAGAGTACCACATCTAAGCATGCTCACACCAAAGTATACACTAAAATATACTCCTCACTCAGGTAAAAGGCACAGCAGCCCCACCCCAGCTGGACAGAGAAGAGCTCTCTGGTCAGACTCAAGGGGAGCCTGAAGCCCTGGTGCGAGGCCCAGAGCTCCAGGGGCCTGATTATATGACTCAGGTTGTTCCAACAGCAGCGCCTGCTCCAGCCCACATGCACTGACCCCTCCCAGGGCTGGACCTGGCACTCAGGTCTAGGCAAGCCTAGGAAGGACAGAGGCAGAAGCTAGGCCTTGCCTCAGGGACCTCCAGGACGGCTGGGGAAGTGGACAAGCCCAGGCCCAGCATGGTCTGGGCTGGAGATAGGGCTGGAACAGGGTGGGGATACCATGCAGAGATTTCCCAGATGGCAGGGTGGCACCTGGTATCAAGTTGCTGGCTTGGGAGTCTTCAGTTGCCTGACTCTGCACACAGTAGGTTGTGCTTTTTGCAGAGATGGGGAAAACCAAGTCACAAGGACATTCTGGGATCTGGCTAGTGAGGGAGGTGGAGAGGCAAGGATGAGAAACCAGGAGCACAAACCCTAGCCCCACATTTTAAAAAGTCAGGGGGACTCTGGTGTCTCCCTCCAATGAGGCATTCCTCATTGGAGTCAGCTGTGTTTATTAAGCTCCTGCAACTTTGCCCCCTTTCTAGAATCCCCTGCACGGGCCTTCCAGTTGGGAGAAGGGAGGTGGGTGAAGGAACCTTGCTTAGAATCTCATCAAAGCTTGAGCCTTATATCCAGGAGAATGCTAATTTTTTACCAGGATTCTACACTCAGGTGGGATGCCAGCTGGGAGGCTCTGGCTCAAGCAGCAGCAGCTGGGAGGGTTTCCTTCCCAGACCCTTCCCCACCCTGTGGGGCCTTTCCAGCTACCCCTCTGGGGAGTGAAGGGGCAGCCTGTGTCCCCTGAGTGCCCACTCTGCACCAAGTCCCATGCCGGGCACGGAACACAGATGTCTGAGGCCAAGGTCCTCGAGAAGTGCCCAATCTGCCCACCCACACACAATAGGTGCTCAGGTAATCCTCAAAGTGCAGTGGGTGTGGTAGGCCTCTACCCCATGCCCCTCCTCCCCACGCCCCACTCCCTGGGGCTCCCAATGCCCAAGCAGCACAGGGGCAGAGTAAGGAAAGCCTACCATTTCCTGAAGCCTCTCATCTTGTATTAACTAGCAGCTACGGAGTACCTGCTGTATGCCCAACTCCATCTGGGGTAGAGGTCAAAGAGATAACTACTCCTGAGCTTGGGGGATCAGAACAGCACCCCTATCACTGCCTTACAATAAGGAAGAACAGGGACTGAGGAAGTTTGCCGGAAGAGGCTTACAAATGGAGGAATGTTGGTGCTGAGGCTGGGAGAGAGCAGGGTGTCAGGGAACTGCTGTCTAAGTGAAGCACCCCCTTATAGGACGATAGGAACAGGATTATGGGTGTTGGGCAGCAGGTAGAGGTATCTTGTCCACTCTGCAATGGGCAGCGCCAGGACAGCTGACCCATCAGGCCATTAGAGACAGCAAGTCCAGAATTCCAGGGACTTGTCCAAAGGCACACAGCAGCAGGGTGGCCCCAGGAAGCCAAAGTGCCCAGCCAGTCGTCCAGCAGGGGAGCAGCAGTGACCTTTAGTTCATGGTGGCCAGGAGGCCCTTCGGAGAGGGAGTCCAGGGCAGCATACTTCGGCAGGCCCAAATGGGCCGGTTCGAGTCAGAGAGGCCTGTCCTTGGTCTCCACCTCCTAAACATGTAATTCTCGTTCTCCTTTAAGAGGGGTGCAAAGGTTATTTATAGCCAGGGCTTGCAGGAACCGGGATGCCGGGGTGGCGCGGTGGCAAGGAGGCTTACCTGCTTCCCGCCACCCGGGCTGGGCGGGGCGGAGCCGGGAGGAGGAGCTGGGGACGCAACCTGTGGACGGCCAGGCGTCCGGCCGCCCGACACACTCTGGGACCGGCCGGGGGCCTTAGGGGGTTTTGTGGGGGGCCCGGAAGGTGCGGGAGAGCGAGAAAACAAACTTGGAGAGACGAGTGACCTGGAGCCCGGGGGCGGAGTCGCGAGCGGAGGAGGAGAGAGCGAGCAGCGAGCGAGAGCGCGGCTGGCCCAGGAAGCGGAGAGCGCCGCCCACCCATCCGGGGCGAGAGCAGCGCTGCAGGCAAAGGCAGGCTGGGCCGGGGGCTGCCGGGCCCTCGACCCCCACCGTGACCCCGCAGCCCCCAGCCCACCCCCAAGATGATGAGGCAGCTGCATCGCATGCGGCAGCTGGCCCAGACCGGCAGCCTGGGACGGTGAGTGTCAGTCCTCTCTCTCCCAGCCGGACACTCACTCCCGCCGGACCCTAGGGCAGGTAGAGGGGTGGAGGAGGCTGGGGACAACCAGAGGCCTGCCTTCTCCCTCTGAAGGCCACCCCACCTCCCAGCCGGAGCCGGAGGGTCTTCGGGGGGAGGGGAACCCCCATCCCTGATTGGAGCGGTGCACAGGGCAGACCAAGGATGCTGACTCTTCTCTGCTCCATGAGCTCGCTGGCCTCATTTGTCCCCTCTGTACAATGGGGACAATTACCCATTTGCGGTTGCCTGCGGTGGGGGGAGGGGCCATCTGGGCCCCAGACCTTGGGGAAGGGGAGGAGGCCAGGGCCTGGTGGAGTGGGAGGAGGGGCCTGCCTGTCCGGCGGCGTGCCTCCCCACCCCCACGCCCTGAGGCCTCCAGCTTCTCTATCTTGCTTCTGCTTTTCCTAGCTTCAGGTGGTTAAAAAACATCCCCAGGTCTCCCCGTTCCCACCCCCGCCCCTTGAGCTGGTGGAGTGGAGGCCGGAAGTTTGGGGAGCTCCCAGGCCTGTCTTCTTTCTTCCCCCTGCGTTGGGAGTTTCCTATTCTCTGGGCCCAGGGGAGGAGACTGGGTGTCCAGGGACCTAGTTCTGGTCTCCCACTGGCACAGAGGCCTGTGTGAGCTTGGGCAGTCAGGCCATCTTGCTCGGGGCCTCAGTGTCCCCATACATTGCTGGGTAGGGACCCAGGGCCTGCCTACTGCCAGTAGTCCAGGGTCCTGCATGACTGACAGCCCAGGAGTCTGAGCTCGCACACTTCCCGTTCTTGGGGCCAACCCAGGCCTCCTCTCCCCAGGGTCAGCAGAACAGAGGCTGGACCCTGGGGGAGGGTCTCCCTCAGGCGCCCTCCCAATGCAGTTCCGTCTGGGCTCTCTGAGGACACAGCCCTGGGTGGACGAGGAAGAATGCGTTCTCTCCCCGCCCCCATGAGGCCAGCGGCCACCCAGGGCGGATCACTGCAGGGAGTGGCCCTGGGGGCAACTGGGGTCCAGGTGCCCTGTTTGGGGGTGGGGCAGGCAGGGGGTTTCCTTGCCGGAGCTGGCTCAGCAGAAGCCCTCTCCTCCCGCAGCACCCCAGAGACTGCCGAGTTCCTGGATGAGGACCTGCAGCAGGTACATGCCTGGGCTGGCGGCCGGTGGCAAGGCAGGCCTGTTCAGGCTGTTGGCAGAGGGCCGGGTGGGGACGCCAGCTGGGGACCCAGGTTGAGTCATTCCCCAAGCCGTTGTCCACGGGGTCCCCAAGAGGAGAGAAGGGAGAGGTGGGTCCTGCTCTGGGAAAGAACAGGTCGGTGGGGGGTAGGGGGACAACCCCCCATGATCCGTAACCCCGCGCCCCTCCAGGTGGAGCAGCGGCTGGAGCCAGCCAAGCGAGCAGCCCACAATATCCACAAACGGCTGCAGGCCTGTCTGCAGGGCCAGAGTGGGGCAGATATGGACAAGCGGGTGGTGAGTGTGGCCCCAGGGAGGAGGAACCGGGCAGGATACCTCTGTCCAGTGGCGGAGCAAGGTCAAGGCTAGAGTCTCCCTGCCAGACTGAGCCCCTGGCACCAACAGGGTAGAAATGGCTCTGTCCTAAGGCCCCTCAGGCACCAGGATTACAAGGCTCTATCTCTTACCTTCTTCTTGACTACCCCCTCTGCACCAGTCCCCAAAGCCAAGGCCAGGCCTCTGACACACCTGAACTTCTCTGTCCAGTCAGCACCCAGAGCAGAGCAGGCCCTCTCAACTAGGACAATCCGTGAGGACTTCCTGAAGGAAGTGGCATTTGAGCTGAATTTTGAGTGACAACTCACTGGTATTAATCAACAGTCAACATTTATGGACTGATTATTGCTAGTCTGTTGCTAAGATGTCAAAGTGTTGCCTCACTTACTGCTGACAACAACTCTACGAGGAGGCAGCCTTTATTAACAATGTACAGTCGAGTAAATGGAGACGGAGAGGTGAAGTGACTCACTCAAGGTCACACAACTAGTAAATGACAAAGCTGAGATTTGAACCCTCGTCCCCTCTGACCGAAGTTGGTGTTCATTTTGAACTCAGGAGGGACTAGGTGAACTATGCCCTGGGGCAAGGGAAAGACTCCCATTCCCAGCGGTAGTTCCTAGCTCCTCCATTCTTCCAACTGTGTGACCTTGGGCAAGCTCCAGGCTCTTTGTGCCTAATTTTTCAGTCTGTGATAGTACTTGGTCCTTCTGTCCAGTCATGCGGCTTCTGGGAGGGATAAATGGGACCCCAGATGGGGTGGAATGGAGGTACATGGTCACGGGAAAATGTCACCCCCACCATGCTGGTCATCATCCTATTTCCACTTGCCTGTTTTGGTGGCCCTCCTGGGTTCCCTCCTCCCATGTCCATGCCCAATGCCTTGGTGCCCCCAAGGGACTTACCTGGTGCTCAGGCAGGGTGAAAGGGGGCCCAGGAGGTGAGCACAGGCCATCATCACACTCACAGCTGGTCCCCCCTACTTCCTGCAGAAGAAGCTTCCCCTCATGGCTCTGTCCAGCACAATGGCTGAGAGCTTCAAGGAGTTGGACCCCGATTCCAGCATAGGGTGAGCATGGACAGCGCCTCAGCCCTCACCTGCTGAGGAGGGATTTGGGCAGGAAAGGGCCAAGTCAAAGAGGGCATCCTCAGAGGAAGGGTGGCCAGGCTGGGGACAGTGTCCAGGTCAGTGAGGGCAGCCAGGCCTGGAATAGTGTTGGGCTCAGCAAAGATGAAAGAGAGACAGCAGAGGGAGGAGGCAGTGGGGAGGGAGAGGCCCATCAGGTGTTCCCAGATTGGGGGAAGGGCCTTGGGTGCCTGGCCACCAGGTGCTTTATCCGCAGGAAGGCCTTGGAGATGAGCTGTGCCATTCAGAACCAGCTGGCCCGCATCCTGGCTGAGTTTGAGATGACCCTGGAGAGGGATGTCCTGCAGCCACTCAGCAAGCTGAGTGAGGTGACCCTCCTCCCCAGCCCACTGCCCCTGGCTTCCCCAGCTCCTAGTTCCCACCTCCCCAGCCCACTGATCCATCCCTCCCTGTGCCTGCACCCAGGAGGAGCTGCCAGCCATCCTCAAGCACAAGAAAACCCTGCAGAAGCTGGTGTCCGACTGGAACAACCTCAAAAACAGGTGCCATGCATAGTCAGCTTGTGGAGGTGGTCCCAGAACTTTGAGGCCCTTCCCATACTAGGAAGATACCACAGGGCCCATTGGGTACAGTGTGGATACTTGAGCACACATCTGGCTCCTAGGGCACACGTGGTGAGGATACATGTGAGCATGCCTCTGTACATGGGTGTGTACACATGCGTGTGCCAGCTGGAGGTTACCCCAAAGCCTAGGATAGCCATAACAATCCTCCCAAGATCCCTAGATTGGTGGGAGCACGCCCACCCCAACGCTCCACTCTACAGCTGGGTGGCTGTGATTACCAATTCCACCAGCAGGGGGTGCACCCGAGCACTCATGGCCCAACTCAGGCAGAGGCCCATGGCCAGGGGAACTCTGAGATTTACATCCATAAATCCTACAGCCCTGTGTGGTCAGGCATATGGAGGGGACACTTGGCTCTGGACATGCAATGGGGACAGTGACCTCCCCACTTTGGGATTCTCCCCAGGCTCAGTCAAGCAGCTAAGAACTCAGGCAGTGGTCAGGGCCTGGGCAGTGGCCCAGGCAGTTACAGCCACACCACCACTGCCAACAAGGTGGAGATGCTGAAGGAGGAGGAGGAGGAGCTGAAGAGGAAGGTGGAGCAGTGCAAGGTGAGGGGCACTTGGGGTTCCCTGGATGTGCAGGGGTGGCAGGGGTTGGTACTATCCCCATTTCACAGATGAGGAAACTGAGGCTCAGGTGTGCTATGACTTATCAGAGACCACATGGCTGGGAAGTAGCAGAGCTAGGATTTGAACTCAAGGTCTGTGTACTCAGCCACTACCTTGTAGCCTCTTCTGTCTACACCATACACATAATACCTGGGAGGCAGAGACACGGTCTGTTCACCCAGGCCTTGGTGTGTTTGCCGAGTGAGTGAGTGAGTGAGTGAATTAAGGGTGAATGCATGGACAGCGAGTAACACAAGGTACTGTGCTAAGGGCATGGGGACACAGAGATGAGGACTAGAAGCTGCAAAAGCCCCTCAAGAATTTGAAGGAGTTCCTGTGGGCCATCCCCAAGTGCAAACCTTGGCAGAGAGAGGAGAGCTTGCCGAGACCCTCCATGTACAGCTCGGGCAAGTCACTAACTGTGTAGACTGATGTGCTATTCAAGCCTCTGCTCCCGCTCTGGGCCCCTGCCTCACTGGAGTAAGCCCTCCTCTCTCTGTCCCCAAGGACGGGTACTTGGCCGACCTGTACCACTTTGCCACCAAGGAGGACACATATGCCAACTACTTCATCCACGTGAGTCCAAGACCAGGCTCAGAGGTGGACACCAACCCAGGGACCAGTGGGACACCCTGCAAGATGGTGGGGAGGACAGACCTGTTCTCGCAGCCCTGGGGGAGGCCCAGCTTCTCTCACTTGTCCTCACAGCTTATGGAGATTCAGGCCGAGTACCACCGCAAGTCTCTGAGCTCCCTCGACACAGCCCTGGCTGAGCTAAAGGAGAACCACGGCCAAGCAGGTGGGAACACTGACCTCCACCCTGCTCAGGGCATGTTAAGAAGCTTACACTCCATCCTGAAAGGCAATAGGGAGCCAAGGATGAGTTCGAGCAGGGGAGGACTCGATTACATTTGTGATAGGTTGCTCTTCTGGTTGCTGCATGGAGGATGGCATGAAGGGGCAGGTCTGGAGCCAGAAGACCTGTTAGGGGGTAAAGAGGTGGTGACGGTGGCCTGGACTCGGGTAGAGGCAGTAGAGGGGGCCGGATTCAAGAGATATGTTGGATGATTTCAGGATGTGTGGCGTGGATAGTCAGGTGGGAGGTGGCCCTGTTGGCCAAAGCAGTAGGCCCATTGAGAACATCTGGGGGTGCCCCTGGCTGCCCAGGAGTGGGAGGACCCTGGGCCACTGATCTGTCTTGTCCCTGCAGACCCCTCCCCCTCGACGATGGCCGCCCCCTTCCCCAGGGTGTATGGGGTATCACTGGGAACACACCTGCAAGAACTGGGCCGAGACATCGCCCTGCCCATCGAGGCCTGTGTCATGATGCTGCTCTCCGAGGGCATGAAGGAAGAGGTGGGGCCCACTGGGGCAGGTCGGGAAGGAGCATCAGGTCCCTCAGTCTGTTCCAAACCTCCCCTGCTGGCGCCTCTAATCCCACTGTTAGAGCGCAGGGCCCTGGGAGAAGGCTCAGCCTCCTGTTGCTGGATTGACAGCACCTCCCACTTAGTGCTGCTCCTGTGGACCAGGCACTGCCGTAAGCCCTTTACATTCCCTGCCCCATTTAAGTACCCCAGTAACCCTTGGAGGGAACCTCATTGGCTCCTTTGCAAGGGAAAGACAAAGGCCAAGAGGTAAACATGCCCAGCATCTCAGGAGAAGGTGGCAGTGAAACCAGGGACTCCACGTGCAGTCTCTGCTGCATGCCGTCCTCATCTGTCTATTGCACCTTAGCCATTGCTAGTACGTCGGCTCCCTTCCTGAGGATAGAGCCTTAGGAAGCAAAGCAGACTTAGGCTTCTCAATCCTGCTGGGCCTCCTCTTTACCTTCCACTCCTAACCAGATGCCTCTCTCCCCTCAACTTTTCCCAGCTCCTCCCAGACTTCCCACTTTGCTCAGAATCTTAGGCCTTGAGAATTGGAAGGATCCATGGACATTGTGGTGTCCACTCTGCCCACCAGACCAGTGGGGACACTGAGGCTGAGTGAGTTAGGGCCTCCTGGCCAGGGTTTCCTGCCCCACCCACACCTCTGTGACCCCAACCTGCTCTCTCCTATGTTCCAGGGCCTCTTCCGTCTGGCCGCTGGGGCCTCAGTGCTGAAGCGCCTCAAGCAGACAATAGCCTCGGACCCCTACAGCCTGCAGGACTTCTGCTCTGACCCCCATGCCGTGGCAGGTGCCTGCTCCCTTCCCCAAATCCCTTCCCCAAAACTGCCTGAAATGATAGTTCGGCCTAAGGCCTGATAGTCTGCTGTAGAGACACCTGAGGAGACATGGGGGGTCCTTATAGTGGGGTCCGTTATTAACCCTCTGGACTGTATATGCGTTCTTCTGGGGACAAGATCACTTGCCTTCCTCATGTTCTCAGCAAGGCCCATGGCCCAGAGAAATGGTCATACCTAGACATACTAGTGTAAACAAGGGCCAGAGGCTGCTAACAGATGGAGAGTGCTGGCTACTGGTGGAGGTGGGGGCTGCGTCTGAGCCCCCACCGCCACTTCAGGTGCCCTCAAGTCCTATCTGCGGGAGCTGCCGGAGCCCCTGATGACCTTTGACCTCTATGATGATTGGATGAGGGCAGCCAGGTGAGGCGGGGTGGGGGTTGCTGGGGAGGAAGAGGCTATAGATGTATGCCCTGGGATGGCTCACCAGGTCTCTCCCCCTCCTCAGCCTGAAGGACCTGGGGGCCCGGCTGGATGCCCTCCAACAGGTGTGCAGCCGCCTGCCGCAGGAGAACCTCAACAACCTCAGGTGAGCCCCGAGGCCCCTCCCTGGCCTCCCCAAAGCCAGAGTCCAGCTGGGACTTGGGCCTGGGTTTGCATCCTGCCTCCTTGTCCTAAGCAATATTTCTGAAAACAGCTTCGGTTTGTTCCTCATATTTTTCTATATGAAACATTGAACTAGACATACTTTGAACCTTTGAAGCCACACCACTTGGCTTCAAATCCCACTTCTGCCCTGTGTGGCCCTGGGCAGGGGACTTGACCTCCCTGTGCCTCAGAGCCCTCATCTGAAAAGCACAGAGCATGACAGTCCCTGCTCCACAGGGAAGCTGAGATCTCAGCTTAGCTCAGTGCCTGACGCATGGGTGGCGCTCAGTAAGTCAGCTAATGTAACTTTTAAAACATTTTAAACCATCCCATGGGGTATCTTTGCCACACCTTAGAAATCCCAGTCTGTGAGACTTTCAGGCCTTGGGGGCATCAGTGGGTGTTTATGGCCCAAGATGCCCTGCTCTTGGCCCTACCCCGACTCCTGCCTCCCCAGATACCTGATGAAGTTCCTGGCACAGCTGGCCGATGAGCAGGAGGTGAACAAGATGACACCCAGCAACATCGCCATCGTCCTGGGACCCAACCTGCTATGGCCCCCTGAGAAAGAAGGGTGAGGGGCTATAGGTTGGGGGAAGGTGGCAGCCCCACCTCAACCATCCACTGCTTATTTTTCCTTGGGCCTCAGTTTCCCCATCCTCAGAGGGAGTGGAGCAGCTCCTATCCTCAAGGCTGCAGGGAGGAGCATCCAGAGAGATTGGGGACCCCACAGGGCGTTGGTGATAGGCACTCTTATAATGGCAGTAATGGAGTACTTGAGGGGCTAGGAGCCCAGAGATCCGGGCCTAGCCCCATCCCTCCGCCTGCCAGAGGTGGGCCTTAGGAAATCACTCTCTGGACCTCCATTTTCCTCCTCTGTAAGTTAGAGAGAAATTATACAAGGTTTGAGGATTTTTGCTTTGGGAATTAAATGAGATAATGAGTGGTGAAATATTTTATAAAGTGTAAAGGGCAGTGCTAGCTGAGGGATTGGTATTATTCACCTGGTCCCAGATGGCCGAAAGATTTCATTTGCCAAGTGCAAGTACGTGGTGTAGGCCACCCAGCTCCAAGAGCAGAGAGGAAGGTGCCCTCACCGCCTGGTGCTGCTTCTTGTGTGCGAGGGAGGGGACAGGTGGGCGTGCGAGCGATACATCTGCCACCCACTGGTGGTCGGTGAGCTTCTGGAGAACAGAGACTTGATGTGACGGAGCCAGGCAGCTCGGGCCCCGGAGACTTTGTGAAATGGGTGACTCACAGCTGCTCCTTTCTGTCCCAGGGACCAGGCCCAGCTGGATGCCGCCTCAGTGTCCTCCATCCAGGTGGTGGGTGTGGTCGAGGCCCTGATACAGAGCGCAGACGCCCTCTTCCCTGGAGGTGAAGCTCCTGCACTTGGGAATGTGCCCCTCGTGCCCTCCTCTGCCCAGCTCCATGCCCTCCTGACTCAGCTTCAGGCCCTGGCAGCCCCACAAACCCACCGTGAGGCCTGGAGGAAATTGCCTCTCCCCTCTGAGCCTCAGTTTCTCATCTGTAGAATGGGGATGGTCCTGCCTGCCTTATGGGATTGGTGTAAGGCTGATGTGGGAGGGGGAAGACGAAACACAATCCAGATAGTGTCAGGACAAAGTAGAGGTGGTCTGGAGACCCCAGGGGTTGGGGGGTGGCTGGTGGAGGCTCTGAAAGTTAACACCTACTCCCCTCTATCTGCAGACATCAACTTCAACATGTCAGGCCTGTTCTTGGCCCCTGTCCCCCAGGACAAGGTCAGCAACAGGCCAGCCTCTGAAGAGCTTCCAACGATGGCTCCGGCTCCAGCTGCTACCCCAGCTTTAGTGGCTACCAAGGAAAGGTGAGGACTAACGGCTGTGAATGGAGCCTGTCCGGGCCCTAGTGCCCACCCCGAGGCACCACCTCTCAGGGCTTCCAACAGCATTTTAGGAAATGTACTTACTGTATTGTCATCCCAAACACCAGGCTTCCCAGATTGGAGTGGGTGGGGTGGAGACTCGGAGGCTGTATTCCCCTCAGCCTCTGATGTGTTCTCTCGTTCATTGTATGGCTATTTACTGAGCACCTACTATGTGCCAGGTGCTGTTTTAGCCCCTGGGGATTTAGGAAGTAGGGAGCTAATCATTTTGGAATTTGTAAATACCTTCCAGTCTTCTCTTTGATCCTTTAAATCTGGAAGGGCTGCGTGGTAACGGCGTTACCTCCATACCAGGCAGGTATTGTTCAGTTATCAGATGGCTGGGGCCCCAACCATGAGTTTCCTCAGGTGAGCAAGGCTGGCAAATGCTGCCCTTAGAGCTGCCAGGGGCTGGGGAGAGAGTCAACAATCACACTGCTGAACGGGTGATACGATGTCGGCAGCGGTGCATGCTATAAAGCAGAATAGGGCAGGCTGGGGGTAGGGCAGGGAGCTCTGGGGTCGGGAAAGGCCTCCTTGAGGAGGAGCCTGCAGCGAGCCTGGCCTCTCCCTCTGCTGCTTGTCCACGCTGGCTTCTAGTGCCTGGAATATCTCACTGGGATCACACGGAAGCTGAGAGCTGAGGCAGAGCGGAGGCCCTGCTTCCTGCTCCTCATCTTGGTCCCATGGGGACCATGGTCATTGTCACAGTGTCACACAGCAGCCAGGGCTTCAGTGTACTCAAACCCGGCCAATGCCAGAAGCGTCTTTCCAGGGGGTGCCCAGCCTGGGGACAGACCCCAGGCGCAACCACAAGGGGTTGGGCAACAAGTGCTGGGAGGGCCCAAATGCAACCTATTGTCCAGGAGTCTCCCCAGGATTCCAGGAGACATCTGCGAGATGGCCAGCCCTGACCCTGATCCTCTCCTTCCCTTGCAGAACAGAATCTGAGGCACCCCGCAGACCAGCCTCCCCCAAGGTCAGTAGGAGTTCACCGGAGGCAGCCACCCCAGTGGAAGACATGGCTCGGAGGAGTAAGTTGGCCACGGGAGGGAGAAGGTGGACAGAGGGTGGGAAGGGAATCGGGGTGGGCAATCCAGACCAACCCATGTTTTCAGACAGCTGGGAAGGCCAGGAATCCAGGTGGCTAAGAGCCCAGGTTTGCTGCCTGACACTCTGGGTTCAGATTCCAGCTCTGTGACTTTGACCTATCTGCTCCTTCTCTGTGTAATGGAACAGTAACCGCTCCTACCTTGTAGAGCTGTTTGGAGAATTAAATGGTGCTGGCTGACTCATACCCAGCATGCAGTAAATGCTCAATAAAGGTCAGCCATTGTACATGGGGGGGCCAGGAGAGTCCAATCCCTCAAGAAGCCCAGAGGTCACAGAGAGAAGGGGGAGTATGGAGTCTTCAAAGGGCAGGAAAGGAGGTGGAGGTGGTGGTGGAGACTTGGCCTCCTGTTGGGTGCACTCACCTGTTGACTTGGCCTAAAGCCAGGCAGGTGAGAAGACCCAAGGGTTCAGATGGGGCCCCACCCAGCCCAGGAGGCACTGGGGTTTTAACATCTGGGTGTGCTTTGTAGAGCCAGGGTAGCTGGAGCAACCGCAGGAGCCCCTGGCCCAGCAGGAGCTGACAGGTCCCCTAGGGACCTTCCTATAGGAGGGGGCATCTTGCCACCTTTCCTGGGTGGGAGCAAGGGGATACTTGCTCACTAGAGCACACCTGAAATGCTCAAAGGCTATCATAGTATCACCTGAACTGGTCCTCGTGTCAGGGGATGCCAAGGCTTCCATCCCATCTTACCCACGAGAAAACTGAGGCCCCAGGGACAAGTGATGTGCCCACATCCCCCGGTGGGTGGAGGCAGAGCTAGGACCAGAGTCCAGGCCTCCTGGACCCCCAGTCCCTTGGCTGCCTCAGGAGGTTGGGAGTGCACTGGGATCTCTGAAGGCTGGGCTGGGATAGTTCTGCGGGGGCTTTTGAGAGGAAGTAAGCAAGACCCAAGGGTCGGGAACAGGCAGCATTTTCTGTAGTCAACAAATATGTATTCAACGCCTGCTTCATGCCCAGCACTGTGCTAGCCAACCACACATAAGATGGCCTCGCTTAGTTTACATTCTAGCTGGGGAGTCGAACAAAATAAAAACTGATGAGAGCACCAAGTTCTGTAAAGAAAATGCAACAGTAAGCATGGGACGGGCAAGGGGCATGACAGGAAGTGGTAGGGGACATGGACAGGGCCCTGGATGATGAGAAGCCAGGCATGGAAACTGTTCCTGGCAGAAGGAATAGCAGATAAACAGGTCCTGAGGTGGCATTGAGCTTGGTGGATTTGCCACAGGTGGTTGGACATCTAACCACCCCTTTCCTTCCTCCACAGCCAAGCGCCCGGCTCCTGCCCGGCCCAACATGCCACGCCCCCAGGCCTCTAGCACCCGCTCCTCCCCTCCAGCCCCATCCCTGCCCCCTGGTTCTGGCAGCCCTGCGACCCCCCAGGCTCTGCCCCGCCGTCTAGTAGGCAGCAGCCTCCGGGCCCCCACAGTGCCACCCCCATTACCCCCCAACCCCCCACAGCCTGTGCGGCGCCCAAGCCGACATTCGCCAGCCTCCCCCCACCTCGCTTCCCCGAGTCCGGCCTCTCCCAACCCCATCCCTCTGAGCATGCCTACGCAGGTGGACCTGGGGGCCACCGAGGAGGGAGGGCTACCTGAGGCCGTAGGAAGGGCCTCCAGTCCCCCAGCGATCCCCCCTCAGCCGCAGTCCAGGAGCCTTGACTCAGAGACCAACTGAGCTCCCCTCCGACAGTCCTCAGTGTCCCTCCCCTCCTACCTCATCCTCCCAGGACACACCCTCACCGTCCCAAGGGGTGGGAGCCTCCAGCCTGTCTGTAAGTGCCTCAGCGCCCGCTGGGTCGGCCCCCGTGGTAGGGGAACTCTGGACAGTCCTCCACTTCCAGACCTTTTCCTCGTGGATCTACCCTGGGCTGGGGGACCATCACCCAGCTCCCCACTTTCTGTAGTGTCCCAAAGCAGCCGCCAGAAGGAAGGAGAGGCTTGCCTGCTCCTATAGGACTTTTATTTTTCTCTTGCCAACATATTTTTTTTGTAAGGCTGGTAAATAAATTATTTTGGACAAAACTGGAGCAGCTGCCCAAATGAGTTTTATTTTCATCCTTGAAATAAAGAAGCCGCATTCATAAAGGAAAAAAATTACCTATTCTTTGTCTCCTTTCTTCTGTCTGAAATAATAACAGCCAACATTTTTTGCAGCTTTTTACCCTTACTTTGTGCTAAACTCTGTGCTTTTCTACTCATAATTTCCACTTAGCCCTCTCCCAGTGAAGTAAATCCCATTACCTCTTACAGGTTAGGAAACTGAGGCTCAGAAAGTGACCTGTCAAGACCCCATAGCCAGTGAAGTATTAGGCCAGAGATTAGGACCCATGTTTGACTGATTCCAGCACCTGGGCCTCTCCCTCACATCCTGAGCAATTTAGTTAACTCCTTAGTGTTTAGGTTTCCTTATCTGAGAGGTTGTACAGCAATTTCCACCCCAGAAGTGTTCTGGGGGTTTAAATGAGACACTCCTTTAAAGATCAAAGGACACTCTTACAAGTGTCTTATAAGTGTTGGTTGCTATTATCACAATTTAGGTAGGTCATGGGGAATGCAGTACAGCACAGAGAAGACAATGACTCTATAATCTGACTACGTTGATAGTGACCGCAATGGAGCGGGTGAGGACTTGATAATATGTATGGGTGAATGTTAAAACCACTGTGGTGTTTATATGAAACCATCATAAGATTGTTTATCAATGATATTTTAAAAAGCAAAAGCGTTGGCTGCTCTTTATGCTGGTTTCCTCATCATGCATACACACTTCTCTGGATTTCGCTCAGGACTGTAGTGTCCACGGTTCAAAGGGCAATGAGATTTCATCCAAAGACCGCAGCTCTCTTAGCATCTGCTTTCCTCTTAGCAACTAGCTCTCCTAACCTTCTGGTTGGCTAGGGAACGCGGGGCGGCTATTCGTGCTATTGTGTTCGTAACTCCTTATTGGCCAAGAAGAGCGTCAGTCTCACGGCCTCACGCCCCTCTACTAGGCTACTCGGGGTTGAAACTCGGCGGCGACCGGCCCAGCAGAGCTAGGGGGCGGGGCGAATGACCAGGTTAGGTTTTCATTGGTCTTCTCCCTCAGTAGCCCCGGTGATTCCGCCCCTTTTCTCCAGACTCTGTTAGCTCCCGACCTCGCACTACTCCAAGACTCTCCCATTGGCCACTGGCAGGCATTGACCCCGCCCCCTTGCCATTCGGCGTGCTGATTGGCACTGGCGGGGGACCGGTCTGCCGCGCGCGATCGCGGGTGCGGGCGGAGTGAGAAAGGCGCGGTGCGGCGTGCAGGCGGCCAGGCGGCTGCATGGCGCGCTGCGAGCGGCTGCGCGGCGTGGCCCTGCGCGACGTGCTGGGCCAGGCCCAGGGGGTTCTGTTCGACTGTGACGGGGTGCTGTGGAACGGTGAGCGTGTGGTGCCGGGCGCCCCGGAGCTGGTGGAGCGGCTGACGCGGGCCGGCAAGGCCGCGCTGTTCGTGAGCAACAACAGTCGGCGCGCGCGGCCCGACCTGGCTCTCCGCTTCGCGCGCCTCGGCTTCGGGGGGCTGCGCGCTGAGCAGCTCTTCAGCTCCGCACTCTGCGCCGCGCGCTTGCTACGCCATCGCCTGTTGGGGCCGCGGGACGCGCCCGGCGCCGTATTTGTGCTGGGAGGCGAGGGGCTGCGCGCCGAACTGCGCGCCGCGGGGCTGCGCCTGGCGGGAGACCCTGGAGAGGACCCGGGCGCGGTCCCGCGCGTGCGCGCCGTGCTCGTGGGCTACGACGAGCACTTCTCCTTCTCCAAGCTGAGCGAGGCGTGCGCGCACCTGCGCGACCCCAACTGCCTGCTCGTGGCCACCGACCGCGACCCGTGGCACCCGCTCAGCGACGGCAGCCGGACACCCGGTGAGCACGGGGCTGGCGGGGAAAAGAAACTGAGGTGGGGTAGAGACCTGCGCTTCCACCTCCACACTTTGTGGGAAGGAGTGTCTCCAGGTGACAAGTGAGGAACAGGAGAGATGCGAAAGAGGCTCCTGCCCCACAAGAGCCTAGGGTGCTTTAGTGTCCACGTCTGGTAATTCTTGTAGCCGCCACCCTGTGAGAGGTAGCAGTGGAGTCCCCGTGTGACAGATGGGGAGACTGAGGCCCATTGTGACTCAGAGGGTTGCAGGCGTAACCTAAGCCCCCAACTCCCAGCCTTAGCCTTCCTGAACCAGCCTCAGTGATCCCTATCATTCTGCGAGGTTGGAGAGTAGGAGACAGAGCCTGGAAGGATTGTCCCTGTGCTGGAGGGCTGGGACACCATTACCAGCGGAGGTTGTAGGCAAGTGTGCAGGGAACACAGAAAAAGAATGGAGTTTGACCTGAGTGCCAGTTCCAGCTCCAGGCCTCTGTTACCTTAAGTTATGTAATCTGGGAGCATCTCTGTCCTGGTTGTAAAATAGGAATGCTAACCGTGCCAGTTTCCTCTGAGGGGAGAGTGATCAGGGTGAGTGCTTGGCACATAGTAGGTGCTCAAATGATGTAAGTTGTGTCCGGTGCCCTCTCATGTTACAGAACTTTATGAAACACCTTGGTGTCTGTTCTTATTTAGTCTCCAAACTACTCTGGAGATGGGAGTTATTGTCCCATTTCTCAGTTAAAGAAACTGAGGCTGAGAGAGGGGAAGTGAGCCGCTCAAGAGCAAGAGGACCTGCGCTTGGCTCTCGTGGCCACCCCACCCTCAGCCCCTGCCCCCTCCATCTAAGGCACTCTTCACTGCTGTCATCTGGGTATTCAGACCTGCAGGGGAGACAGCAGGTGGAGGCTGCTACACCAGCAGGGTTCGAGTTAGACAAGAGCAGGTGGTAGCAGAATATGACAGTATAAATGTGTGTGGAGAAGTCAGTACCCCAGCCAGTAAGCTGAGGATAGGGAACAGATCTCCATCACTCCCTCTCTGCTGGCCACTGACTCAGATAGTCATTGATACCAAATCCTGGGGGGTGGAGGTGGGGGCCCAGGGTGGTATTGATTGACGAGTAGACAGTGTTCTGATGGTGTAGAAGAGAGGGCCTAAAGCTGAGGGGATCTGGGAAAGCTTCCTGGAGGTGGCATCTTGCAAGACTGGGTGCCAGGGGATAAAATATGGAACAGGGCTTGGGCCATGGCAGAACCAGTTCCAGGTCGGGATTCTGTAGTCCTAGGCCTGTCCTAGCTTTGTTGCACACCTACTTGTAGCATGACTGCAGTCTCAGTTTCCCTAGAAATCTAAGGTGAGGGCTCTGGTCAGGGCTCCCAGTTGCAGCAGCTCCTACCTGCCCTAGGCCATGCGATGAAAAGTGAGCCTCTCTCTGGAGGCCTCAAAGTTCGGGCTAAGGCTGGGGGTTAAGAGCCGCCCCGCCGAAGCTCAGGCAGGGTGGGTGGAGGAGCCAAGGAGAAACCAGGCCCCGCCCACTTGCCTCTTTTGCTCTCAGCAACCAGCTGGCTGTGCCCAGCAGTCCTGCTGGTCACTCCCACAGCCTACAGGGGGAGGCAGAGGCTTAACAAACAGCGCTGCTGTCGTGTTTGCACACAGGAATGATGCAGCTTTGAAACAGTGGTATAAAAATACTAATAAAGTCCCCCGTTACGCATCAAACCTGAAATAATGCAAATCTCTCTCACCCTATTTCTCTCTGCCCCTGTGGGTCTCCTAAATTGTGCATTTACCTTGTCCCCACATGGCAGCCACTTGAGCTGACAAATAGAAATAAATGCCTGCTGTCTTAGGAATATGTCACCACCAAAACATATGACAGCATTAGATTACAGGATGTTATGAAAAGTGGGATATTGGTGGTTTGAGGACACAGTTACGTTCATAGACTTACCTGCTAGGATGCTCATTCCCCCAGGGTAGGGGCCTTTATTGCATTCACTGATCTATCCCCAGTGCCTGGCATATATATAGTTGGGCCTCAGTAAATGTTAGCTGAGTGGGGGAAATGGGACATGGGAGCCCAAGGGTGAGCACCTCTGTCCAGGTGGGAAAATTGCTGACAGCTGAGACCATTCTAAATTGTGAGCTGTGAAAAACACCGGGGCGACAGGCGAGCCATTCCCATCCTGGTAGGCATTTCTGAGTAACGGACCAAATGGCTTTTCTTCCCTACTCGGTTCCCTAGAAAATAAGCAAGTTCTAGGTCAGATGTCAGGGAGAACCTCCCAGCAGTGTTCCTCTGCCACAGCTCTGCCCTGACCCTGTGACACTGGAGAAGTTCCTCCTCATCTGGGGGCTGCAGGGCTGAGATTCCTTGCCGTCTGTGCCCACTTTAATCTTACTGAGCTCTGGCTTATCTACACAAAGTTTTGTCTGGGGAGACAAGAGGCCCAGAGCATTTGGGGTCAGACCAGTGGTATACTACTGATGAATGTTTAATATTGGAAGAGCCTTGATTGAGACCACCTGCCAGTTTCTGTGGTGTAAATACTCCCACCATGGTTGACTTCAAGCTACCAACAGGAAGTCACTGAATATGGAGGTGGGAAGATCTGTGCTCATCATATAGCTGACCCTTGAACAATGGGGCAGTTAGGGGCGCTCCCGTATCCTGAACAGTCACAAATCTGCATGTAACTTTTGACTCCCCCAAAACTTAACTACTAACAGCCTACTGTTGACCAGAAGCTTTACCAATAATATAAACAGCTGATTAACATGATTAACACATACTTTTGTATGTTTTATGTATTACATACTGTATTCTTACAATGAGTAAGCTAGCTGAAAAAGTTTTCTCAAATTGTAAATATCAAAAAATTCGACCAATAAATTCATTGAAAAAAATCCACATCTAAGTGGACCCACACAGTTCAAGCCCATATTGTTCAAGGGTCAACTGTATGGTATTTCTATCATTGAAGATGTAAATAATCCCAAGAGTATAGATAATGGTAAAATAAGTAGGAAGTGATGTTTTGAGAATATATTACCTTTGATTTAAACATAATGCATTTGATTATAACTTTAAGTTGACTTCTAGTAGTGACTTTGTTTAACAACCAGCTTACATGATTCCTGAAAATGAAACATTCAGCTCTCCCACGCCAGTACAGCTGGCCCAACAAAAGACTGTACCCCAGCCACTTGAATACATCTCCTTTACCTGCCACCTATTAAGCTGTACAACTCTAGACAAACTACTTGTCCCTGAGCATCAGCTTTCTAATCTGTAAAATGGGCTTCCGTAAGCACCCAGCACAGTTCCTGGTACTAGAGAATGTGCTTATTAACTTGTGATTATCATCATCATTTGTCCAGAGACGTTACTGTGAAAGCAGAACATTCTGGCACAAAGATGTGACTGTGGGATGGGCACAGTGGACTCATTGTGTGGGGCAGGATGGTACTGGGCTGGGAGTCAGAACTGTCCTTTTCTAAACAGTCCTTTTACTGTTAAGCACTTGGGTGGGTTCCACAATTTTGCTTATTAATAGTTACTGAGGCCTTGGACATCTTCAAGCATGTAGCTTTTTGTCTCCAGTTTAAATTCTCCCCTTGTGATAACTTTCTCGGTGGAGGCTGGCTGGGTCAGAGGTGTGAACATTTCTGTGCCCTGCTGTGTTCCAAAAGGGCTGCGTCAGTTCCTGATGCCAGGAACACACATTCTTTTAGCAATACCACAACTGCTGTTTGTTAAGTGCTTTTCTGTTTCCAAAGCACTTGATTCTGTGGTTCCCACAACACCTCCTTGAAGGTGAATTTTACTTAGACCTCCCTTCCCCAGAGAGTCCAGGAAAATTCAGAGAAGTTAATTGGCTTGCCAGAAGACACATAGCTGCCAGGGTAAAATAGCGGGCCAGGTGTTACATCAAGTGGCTCATTCAGTCCTTATAATACCCACATGAAAATAAGTGCCATTAAAATCCCCTTGTTAGAGATGAGAGAGCTGAGGCACAGTGAGGTGAAATTGCCTGCCTAAGAAAGGTGGAGACGTGGTATGCATGCAGACATCTGGTTGCAGAGTCTGTACTCTTCATCACTAAGACTTGGAAGCAGGCCTTTTGACTCATTTCAGTGCCTGATTTAACCCCCGTGCCGCATTGCCTCCCTGAAATTCCAGAGTCAGAGCCTGGATGCCTTCCCAGCTGCTGTGCCGCACTGACCTGGTCTCCCATCTCACTGCAGGCACCGGGAGCCTGGCCGCTGCAGTGGAGACAGCGTCAGGGCGCCAGGCCCTGGTGGTGGGCAAGCCCAGCCCTTACATGTTCGAGTGCATCGCAGAGGACTTCAATGTGGACCCCACCCGCATACTCATGGTGGGTGACCGCCTGGAGACCGACATCCTCTTCGGCCACCGCTGTGGCATGACCACCGTGCTCACGCTCACAGGTGTCTCCAGCCTGGAGGAGGCCCAGGCCTACCTGGCAGCTGGCCAGCATGACCTCGTGCCCCACTACTACGTGGAGAGCATTGCAGACTTGATAGAGGGGTTAGAGGACTGAGCCCACCTGACCTGAAGCCCCACCCCTCCCCCCACCCTGATCCTGTAGATGGAGGCAATGGGCCAAGAGCCAAATTAAGCTCCTTGGCCCTAGTTTCTGCACCCTGATGGGGCTGGGACCCAGGGAAGGATTTAGGGCCCTCGCACCCCCACCCCCAGCAGTGGCTGGGCACCCTTTGTTGTCCCAGAATCTGACCCCCTCCTCCCACCTGTTCACCCTGGCCTGACCCAGCCACGTAGCCTTATTTCCTGCCCTGTGACCTCTCTTTGAAATCTGGGCCCTGATGCCCACTGAAGGTTTTCCCCAATCCTTAATTCCCTAACCCCTCCCTGAGGCCACCAGCTGCTGGAGTCCTGGCTTTGGGTTCCTGTTGACCAATCTGAGGTCTGGGTAACCACCAATCAGTATTATCCTGAACCCTGAATGCACCAATCAGAAGGCTAAGTGATAGTGACTCATTGATGCTGAGTAGACAGTTGGGAACCTAAGTGGCCCTGCCCTAGCTCCTGGGAAGACCAATCTGAACACCAGGTAATAACGACTCATTCGTCTTTCAGATACTGAATAGAACAGTCGAGAAGTCTGAGAGACAGTAGCTTCTTGACAATCTGGGTCTGACAAGACCTGCCAGGGGCCCAGATTTCTATCTATAAATAAGGGTCCAAGTGCTGAAAACACCTCCTCCACAAAGATTACAATCCAGGGGGCCACCCGATGGCTTTGGGGGCTTGTACAGCCTGGAGCCCTGCTCTTGCCTGATCATGGCACTGGTCCAGTATTAATGGTGGTCGCAGCTCAGATGGGGCTTTTGGGTCCCTCCCTGTGCTGCCAGTGTTGGCTCTGCCACCTCTCTTCTGTGCCCACCCACTATTTATTTATTATTGTGTGCCCGTGATGGTGGGGCTGGGGGCTGGGCCTTGCCCACCACTGCCACCTCCATCTCTGTTGTAACCAGTCCTCTCATAATAAAGTGTGAGGGGGAGTGTCTGTGTGCCTTCCAGTCTGTGTGGGGCGGTGGGAGGAGGACCCCTGCTTGAGCCTGGTCTCCCCAGAACTGGCCACCTCAACCTTCCCCTGCATGAAGTGAGCCATCCCAGTTCCAGAGTATTCTCTGTGTGCAGCAGTACCTTAACTGAATAATACTATGCCTCTCTGAGTCTCTGTACCAGTTTGTTTTGTTCCTTCAGAAAACCCAGGAAGCTTGTATTAGTGATCCCATTTACTACTTGGGAAATTAGGACCAGAAATAGGACATAAACTTACACAGGGGTGCATGCCAGAAAGCATGATCACCTGAGGCAGGATTTGGACCTACAGTGGCTGACTCCAGGGAGCTGCGGTTCCCTCTCTGTAGAGACTGAGGTGGAGATAGGTCTCCACCTTTCTGGAGCTTAGGTGAGATGCTGTGTGTCCCCCTTCAGGCATCATGCACACCTGGGACGCTGCTGTGAATGTCCACCCTGCTGGCCCACTCTCCTCACAGCATCCCCAGTGCCTCCTGAAAAGCAGGCGCTCAGCTACAAGCTGCTGAGGCATAGCCTGGAAAGGCCAACAAAAGCTGTGTGGTGAGATGCTCCGCTGCATGGGGAGACTTCCAGGCCTGAATGTCACTGGCTTACTTGTCACTTGAGTTTGCACAAGCCCCTTTCTGCTCAGCCTGTTTCCTCATTTGTAAGGTGAGAGGTGGGGTTTTGAGGTCTGGGAAGTTCTCTCCAATGTGATTCTTCCTGGGGAGAGTGCCTGACCGAGCCTGGCTGCATCATGAAATCAGACAAGATGTGCGCCAGCTTGTCTGGAGACGTCTGGCTGTGACAGAAACAGCTCAACCTGGCTAAGTCATAAGGAGTTTACTGGCTGCCCCATGAGGCGGTCCAACACTCTCCAGGTGTCTCCCTCTCAACTCTGCTGCCGCCCAGACAACTGGTGCTTCTCACCAGACCAACATCTCAGGGCAGACTCACTGGCCTGGCTTGGCTCACATGCCCATCTCTGAACCTGGTCTCAAGAGGATAGTTGGAGCACCGCTATTGGCCAGCCTGAGTCACGTGCCTCCCCAGACGAGGCGAGTGATTGCTGCCCAGGTCCCACTCGACCTAGCAGCCACTCCTCACCTTTGCTGACAGAACCCTGCTCTTCAGGGCATCATAGGTGTACTTGAATCAGATGGGGGAGGCATCCCAGGCCCAGGTGGTGAGTCTTGATTGGTTTAACGGCCTAAATCTAAACCAGATACGGTTGTTTCCTTCTAGCCAGTTTTTGGTTTAGCCATGGACTTGTGATGCACTTCTAACCAATAAGACATGAGGGAATGTCTGCTGGAAGATCATGGAAATCTTTAAATTTTTAAAGAAAGTCATGGAGGGGGTCTCATTCTGGGCTTCAGGTGTGGAATCTGGTGCAGCCATTTTAATAATGAGATGTGACCCAACATATTTTCCCACTTTGATTGCTTCATATGGCAGAGCATCAAGATGGGAAAAACTTGTTGGGGTTGCTTCACCCCAACTTTTAATTTAGAAAAGTTTAGAACTGGCAGAAAAAGTGCCAGAATGGCACAGTGAACACCCATATGCCCTTCACCTGGATTTCCAGTTAATAATATTCCAGAAAGCTGATGACATCAATCCACAAAAATGAAACAACTTCACACTGTACCCCCTGGTTTCAATAATTTCCTGGTTTTGCCTTTCCCCATATTGACTTTTTCTTAGTACCAGAGGCCTTAGAGGAACATTCTGTTGTCCCTGAATAATTTTTCCCTTTAGGGGCAGCTTTGAGGCTAGTGACTGAAGCTCAGACTCACTGAAATTTGAGCTTGGCCTAGCAGTAGGCTCTCACAGAGCATTCTCTTTTGATTTCATTTTAGCTCTTACAGATAACCACCAACAGACTGTATATTTCACTTTTTTCAAAGTACCTTATGCATCCAGTAAACGAATTCCATTAAAGTTGGAGCCTCCTCCAAATTCTACTGGTAACTTCCTTAGTGACTGTACAGTGCAGCTGCTGCTCCATAGCGTGGGTGACCATGTGGCCACCCAGGAATCAAAGGTTCCTCAACCCTGCCTTTCTTTCTCTTCCTAAATCACGTTTCCACACGTCAGGGCCATTCTAGCAAATCCCACGTCTCTGCCATCAACTGAAAGGAAAAACTTTCCTTTACCCACAGAATACTTCTAAGGCCAAATGTGTGGATTTCCAACACCAAGCAATTCCTAGATTTCTGTGGACGCTTGGTGTCCTACAATTTAGTTGAATTCTGGCACTACCTGGAGTTAATGCAGACCCCGGAGGTTAAGAGCTCAGTCTCCCAAGACTATCCCCCTTCCCCAGTTCAGATGCCAGTCACAAATCCCAGGCATCACCTGTGCTGCTAACCAGCTGGCTAGAAATTGGAGGCTCCCACAACCCCCTTCTCAGTCAGGCTGGATAATTTGCCATAACAGCCCACAAAACTCAGGGAAACATTTGTTTATCATCTAATACAGTAAATGATACAGATGAACAGCTAGATGAAGAGAGATATAAGAAGAGAGATACAATGAAGGTCCAGAAGGGTCCCAAGTGTAGGAACTTATGTCCTCATGGAGTATGTGTGCACCACCCTCCTAGCGTGTAGATGTGTTCACCAACCAGAAGCTCTCCAAACCCTGTAGTTTAGGGATTTCTATAGAGGCTTCATCACCTAGGTATGATCGATCATTAACTCTCTCCGGGCCCTCTCCCCTCACGGGAGGATGGGGGTGGGGCTGAAAGTTCCAAGCTTCTAATCATGGCTCAGTCTTCCCGGTGAGCAGCCCCCATCTGGAAGCTATCCAGGAACCTGCCAATAGTCATCTCATTAGAACAAAAGATGCTCCTATCACCCAGGTAATTCCAAGGGATTTAGGAACTCTATATATCAAGAACTGGGGTCAAAGACCAAGGATTAGAACAAGAGGTGCTCCCAGCCCCTCTATCACTTAGGAAATGACAAGGGTTTTAGGAGCTCTGTGTCAGGAACGGGTCAGACACCAAGTAAACGTTTTTTATTATCTCACACTCCCCAACTTTTAATTCAGAAAAGTTTCAACTGAACAGAAAAGGTACCAGAACAGCACAATGAACACCCATAAGCCCATCCCTGGGTTCCCAGTTGTTGATATTTAACAATTTGCTTACTTGCTCTTTATACTGTTTTACATTTTTTAATTTTTCAATGGAATCATTTGAGAGTACATTGCAGATATTTAGACAGTTCACCCCAAATCCAGTCTCTCCTAGTAGCAAGGACTAATTGTGGGTTATGGCCCTGGGGAAGAGCAAGGACTGTCTACCAGTCCGTAAGCAGTGATCACTCAAGAACCCAGATCATTGATGATTTCATTGAGCCCCTGAATTAACCTGCCATGGATATCTAGCGCCAGATGTCTGATCTGAAAGTTTTCCTTAATTTAAAGCAATTTCCTTTGAGTTTTCTGTTGCTTGCAACCCAAAACTCTCCTGATACACAGGCCCCAGGCACATCATAGAAAACATTAAAATGCACCCACATCCCACACTATATGTGTGTGTGTATTTGTTATACATTTTTGAAAGTATTTTTATACTTTTGTTTTACACATTATTTGGCAAAAGAAATCTAACTTAGACCAACCCCGAAGAAGACTTGGACATGCTTTTGAAAGAAAGCTCAACCCCTACAACTTTTTTCTAGTGTAATGCCATGTTTATGACTACCAAGTTTTTAAGTTTGAGCGCAGTAAACATTTATTATTTTCAGCTTTGTAGTTTTAGTATATTGGAGCCATACATTTTTCAGCTCTCAAATATTTTCTAAGCTTTTAAAGAGCTCTTAGCTTTTTGTGAATCTATAATTATGTTAAAAGAAACATTGAAAAAATAAAAAGATTCATGTCTGAGCCCTGGAGAACTAATGAATGACAGGCTCTGCACCCAGACCCCACGAGTGGAGGGGCAGTTCCCCACAGGCACGTCAGGACCTGTACTCAGAAGGGGGACAGACACCAGGTGGAAAGGCAGAAGTGACAGAAGTCCACAGTGTTTGGGGAGGTGGCTGTCTGGGCAGGTGGAACAACACTAGCAAAGAAAGGGAGGTGAGAACTGTTGAGCAGGGTAGGTTGGGGGCAGGCTCCTGCAACTGAATTTGGGAGACATCCCCCCACTAGTTCTTCCTGTCTTTCATGGAGCAGGATCCAAAAACATCATATTTGATGTCCTGGCATCCCAGGACCAACCACAGTGTTCGTTCCTTGGCTCAGCAGGTGGAAGGGCTTTGGCCCTTAACCTCCTGTGTGATACTGGTCAAGTGGCCACTCTCGCTGGGTGGCTTTGACACCAGGTTTTGCATCCAAATGAAGGGGCAGGACAGGTGCAGTATCTCTCAGAGCCCTCGCTGCTCTACCTCGAGGACTCTGGACTGGCTCTGGTCACCCATACCTTCTTCGCAGGGCCAGCCAGGTTGGCATGCTGGTGGGCCCAGAAGCCCTCCCCACCACTGCCAGCTGGAGGAGATGGGGCCTTGACAGGAGAAAGGCAGGAGTGGGCAGCAGTGCTCAGGCTGGGAGCTGGCAGGCTGGGAAGGGCCAAGCTGGCCTGGGTCCCCGTCCAGACAAGCTGAACTCATTTCTCACAGCAGCAGCCAAGGGCCAGGCTGCAGGGCCAGCCTGCAGGATGGACAGATTCCAGAGAGGTCACTACCTCTGCTGAAAGGCGGTGAGCAGGGAGGAGAGCCCTTGGGTGGAGGGTCTTGGCCTCGGGCGGTGCAGGAGCGAGAACTGTTAAGTCCAGCACATTTTGCTCTTGCGATCCTCCAGTCAACCACCAAACCCAGGCCTGGAAACCACTTCAGAGAAGTCAAGGACCTTGGCCACAGTTGCGGGCAGGCAGCCGCCACTTAGGACTTGCTCCTTTTCTCCAGATTCTAAGGTCAGCTTCATTTCAAGGACCAGAGCAGCTTCCCTTGCAGACGTTCAACCCAGGTGGCA